CCACAAGAGCCAGTTTACGCGAGAATTTACATGAAAAACGCCGGACCCGCGTTTCGTGCCAGCCTGCGCAATCGAAATGCACATGGACATTTGGCGCTTGTGCGAGCCTGTGCAGTCGAAATGGACATGGACATGTCACAGGAGCAATTTCACGCGAGAATTTACAGGAAAAAGGCCGGGAAGCAAAACGCATACCCTGATCTAACCCCGGCCTTAACTCCTACCGTAAGAACCCCTCAGGCGGACACACCGTTTGCGGAATCAAATGCTATTATATAACTAGGAGCACGGCCTTTAGAAGGCCGTGGGTTTTTTGTGATCAACGGTGTATCATGGATGATTCTTGATATGCTCGTGCCAATAGGATTTTGTTTGATGTGATTCTTAAGGCCGTTAACCCCTTATTCTGGTGCATATTTTCAAAAACAGGCATTTCGCCTAGACGAAACTACCATTTTTGAGGTTTTTGAGAATTCCCAAACTAATTCCAACTGACATGTTTTCATGTGGTTCTTAAGGCCGTTAACCCCTTATTCTGGTGCATATTTTCAAAACCAAGCATTTCGCCTAGACGAAACTACTACCATTTTTGGGGTTTATGAGAATTCTCAAAATATTCAACCTGACATGTGTAGAATTTCAAGTTGCCTCCACCTGCAGTTCATCCTTTCGTTGCCAATTTCTCGTTCATTTCCTTTTCTGTTTGTAGTCAGAACATGCATGCGCTTGGCTAAACATAGTTAAACCATGTTAAACCATGTGAAATCAGATTGGGGCCACAGGCGTCCCAATGACTTGGTCAAGTTGGTCAAAAATTGACCAACTTGGTCAAGTTGGTCAAAAATTGGTCAAGTTGGTGACAAATTGAGCAACTTAGTCATTTTTGACCAACCCGACCAACCTTTGGCCAACTTGACCAAGTTGGTCAATTTTTCACCAACTTGACCAACTTTTGACCAAATTTTCCATTTTTGACCAACTTGACCAACTTTTGACCAAGTTTGTCATTTTTGACCAACTTGACCAACTTTTGACCAAATTTGCCATTTTTGACCAACTTGACTAACTTTTGACCAAGTTGGCCATTTTTGACCAACTTGACCAACTTTTGACCAACTTTTGACCCTTTTGGCCAAGCTGGTCATTTTTGACCAGCTTGACCAACTTTTGACCAAGTTTGTCATTTTTGACCAACTTGACCAACTTTTGACCAAGTTGGTCATTTTTGACCAACTTGACCAACTTTTGACCAAGCTGGTCATTTTTGAACAACTTGACCAACTCTTGAACAACTTGATCAAGTTTGTCATTTTTGACCAACTTGACCAACTTTTGACTAAGTTCGTCATTTGGGACCAACTTCACGAACTTTTGACAAACTTTTGACCAAGTTGGTCATTTTTGACCAACTTGACCAACTTTTGACCAACTTGATCAAATTGGTCATTTTTGAACAACTTGACCAACTTTTGAACAACTTGATCAAGTTTGTCATTTTGGACCAACTTGACCAACTTTTGACTAAGTTCGTCATTTGGGACCAACTTGACGAACTTTTGACAAACTTTTGACCAAGTTGGTCATTTTTTACTAACTTGACCAAAGTTTGACCAAGTTGGTCATTTTTGACCAACTTGACCAACTTTTGACCAACTGGGCAAATTTTTGACCAACTTGACTAACTTTTGACCAAGTTGGTCATTTTTGACCAGCACCAATTTTTGACCAAGTTTGTGATTTTTTGACAAACTTTTGACCAACTTGACCCAGTTGGCCATTTTTCACCAACTTGACCAACTTAAGGACACAAGAAGTAGTTTTGCTGGTCAAATTTTAAAAGTTTACCACGAAAACTACTTCTGAGTGGTCTAAATTTGGCTGCAAACACTTCTTGTGTCCTTAAGTTGGTCAAGTTGGTGAAAAATGACCAACTGGGTCAAGTTGGTCAAAAGTTGGTCAAAAATCACCAGCTTGGCCAAAAATTGGGCAAGTTGGTCAAAAATGACCAACTTGGTCAAAAATTGGTCAAGTTGGTCAAAAATGACCAACTTTGTCAAAAATTGAGCAAGTTGGTCAAAAATCACCAACTTAGTCAAAAATTGACCAAGTTGGTCAAAAATCACCCACGTCAAAAATTGACCAAGTTGGTCAAAAATCACTAACTTGGCCAAAAATTGACCAAGTTGGTCAAAAATCACAAACTTGGTCAAAAGTTGGTCAAGTTGGTCAAAAATGGCCCAAAATTGGTCAAGTTGGTCAAAAAATCACAAACTTGGCCAACCGTTGGTCAAGTTGGTCAAGTTGGTCAAAAATCACCAACTTGGCCAGAAACTGACCAAGTTTTTAAAAAATGACCAACTTGGCCAAAAATTGGCCAAGTTGGTCAAAAAATCACCAACTTTGCCAAAAATTGACCAAGTTGGTCAAAAATCACCAACTTGGCCAATTTTTGGCGAAGTTGGTCAAACATGACCAACTTGGTCAAAAGTTGGTCAAGTTCGTGAAAAATCACCAACTTGGTCAAAAATTTGCCAAGTTGGTCAAAAGTTGGTCAAGTTGGTCAAAAATGACCAACTTGGTCAAACTTTGGTCAAGTTAGTAAAAAATGACCAACTCGGTCAAGTTGGTCAAAAATGACCAATTTGATCAAGTTGGTCAAGAGTTGGTCAAGTTGGTCAAAAATGACCAAACTTGATCAAAAGTTGGTCAAGTTGGTCAAAAATGACACACTTGGTCAAAAGTCGGTCAAGTTGGTGAAAATTTGACCAACTTGGTCAAATTGGTCAAAAATTGCTCAAGTTGGTCACAAATTGACCAACTTGGTCAGGTTGGTCAAAGGTTGGTCAAGTTGTTCAAAAGTTGGTCGAGTTGGTCAAAAATGACCAACTTGTTGAAGTAGGTCAAGAGTTGGTCAAGTTGGTCAAAAATGACCAACTTGGTGAAGTAGGTCAAGAGTTGGTCAAGTTGGTCAGAAATTGACCAACTTGTTCACGCTGGTGAAAAATAGGTCAAGTTGCTCAAAAGTTGGTCAGGTTTGTCAAAAATTGGTCAAGTTCGGCAAACATGTGAACCTTAACTGACCATCACATGTGTGAAATCAAGCTGGACAATGTGACCAATCAAATCGTTTGTTGAGATGAAAGCGGACCGGGGTGACCCCTGGGGGTAAACACCACCATTTTTGCAGTGCTCCTCTGCACAAGAGATATGTAATGTTCATAGTCCCCAAGTTATGATGCCTAAAAATAGTGCAATCCAAAGTTTTTTATGTTTCAGGAATTAGCACCACAAGAAGTAGTTGAGACACTTTTCAAAGCGGTTTTTCATGTACCACCCAGCCGATTTTCAAAAGGTAGGCCCGAACACTTGTGGCCTCCTTAAAACATAGCCACTCGAAAGTCTACACTGACATGTTTTGATTCCTGTGTTGGTCACAGCATCGCTTCGAGTTCTTCCAAGAACCTTTGCGATCTGGATTGTTTAAGGTACAACGCCAGCACCACATGAACACATGGAAAGTTCCAGAGAACTTACAATAGCGTGGCATGACGCATGAGTGGAAAGTTCCAGAGACCTTACAGTAACGTAGCATGACGTATGAGTGGAAAGTTCCAGAGAACTTACAGTAACGTAGCATGACGTATGAGTGGAAAGTTCCAGAGAACTTACAATAGCGTGGCATGACGCATGAGTGGAAAGTTCCAGAGAATACAGAGAAGCATGTCCTTCCTCCGTAAGTTTGTATGAACGTTATTACATGTCCCACCCCACCCCAGCCCACCCCACCCCACCCGTGCATACATGCACCTAACGGCAGCCACAGAAAACATTTCCTTCCTCCGCAAGTTCACATGAACGTTATTACATGCCCCACCCCACCCCACCCCACCCGTGCAATCCCGTGCATACATGCACCTACCGGCAGCCACAGACAAGCATGTCCTTCCTCCGCAAGTTCACATGAACGTTATTACATGCCCCACCCCACCCCACCCCACCCCCCGATGTGTACAAAACACCACGGCCTTCTAAAGGCCGTGGTCCAACTAGTTTGTATGTATGTGTGTATATATATATTATATTATATATATAGTATAATATATATATTAAATACATATATATAGATATATATTTATATATATATTATACACACATATATATAATATACTTATATATATATATATTATATACACACACACATACAAAGATCCATATTTGCAGTGCATCTAAGGTTCGCCCCGTTTTTCCTCCCCGTTCTGTCGTTTTTGCCCAGGATGGAAGCTGCTCTACAGCTGGGCAGTCGCAATTCCGTCAGCAGCGATCCCATGACAGGCTCCATGTGACTTGGATGAACAGCCGCTGGAGGTAGTAGTTTTACCCAGCCCCAAAATGGTCGGTTTCTTATTGGGCTTCCTAATTATATATATATATATACCTACATACCTACATGCCTACATGAATATCCAATTATTAAAATATATATATATATATATTATATACACACACACATACAAAGATCCATATTTGCAGTGCATCTAAGGTTCGCCCCGTTTTTCCTCCCCGTTCTGTCGTTTTTGCCCAGGATGGAAGCTGCTCTACAGCTGGGCAGTCGCAATTCCGTCAGCAGCGATCCCATGACAGGCTCCATGTGACTTGGATGAACAGCCGCTGGAGGTAGTAGTTTTACCCAGCCCCAAAATGGTCGGTTTCTTATTGGGCTTCCTAATTATATATATATATACCTACATACCTACATGCCTACATGAATATCTAATTATTAAAAAAAACATGATCGATATTTCTATACATGAATATTGAAGTAACTATCTTTCTATCCATCCATCCATCGATCGATCGATCTATCGATCGATCTATCTATCTATCTTTCTATCTATCTATTAATCTAATCTAATCTAATCTAACCTAATCTAATCTAATCTTATCTATCTAATCAATCTATCTAATCAATCTATCTAATCTATCTATCTAATCTATCTAATCTATCTATCCTATCTATCCTATCTATCTATCTATCTATCTTTCTAATCTATCTATCTATCTATCTATTAATCTAATCTAATCTAATCTAATCTTTTCTATCTAATCAATCTATCTAATCAATCTATCTAATCTATCTATCTAATCTATCTATCAAATCTATCTATCTAATCTATCTATCTAATCAATCTATCTAATCTATCTATCTTTCTAATCTATCTATCTATCTATCTAATCTATCTATCTAATCTATCTATCTAATCTATCTAGTCTATCTATCCTATCTATCCTATCTATCTATCTATCTAGCTAGCTATCTATCTATCTATCTTTCTAATCTATCTATCTATCTATCTCTCTATCTCTCTATCTATCTATCTATCTATCTATCTATCTCTCTGTCTATCTATCTATCTATCTATCTATCTATATATCTATCTATCTAATCTAATCTAATCTAATCTAATCTTATCTTATCTTATCTTATCTTATCTATCTATCTATCTATCTATCTACATATATATATATTTATATATGCATATGTGGGATCGGGGAAACATCGTGCCCCATGGGTGCCTGAAATAAGGGCAGCAGATGTTTCTTTGCTTCAGCAACAACCTTGGCAGTCTCACATTCAAGTTGGACCTGTAGAGTCAAACTCCTTTTAGATGAATCAGCGCCGTCCAGAATCGAATTTAGCAAACACATGTACTCGATATTTGTCAACAAACGGACATCTCAAATTTAGAGCTAGGAATGCATAAAGTGCCTGTCCCTCCAAAAAAACAAACGCGCATGTTGGCCCCTATGTTCCTTTTGGTCAAGGATATTCCTGCATGGGGACACTTAGCATGCTAGATGGCAACTTTTGCAACTGAAATGTCCTGTTGCAGCCACTGCAACTTTCAAAACTGGGAACATCATGACCACAACATGCTCAACCCATTCTTCTGCATATGCATGATGGATACAAATTGGAGGGTTTCGGGTTTTCGCGAACCACAGTTTCAAGCAAGAAACACAACTTTTAATCCATTTGACTTGGTTTCAAAATCAAGTATGCTAAACTCGAACCTACAAAAAATCCTTGTAGTTTCATTCGACTCAATTATGCTAAACCTACTACCAAAATCCTTGAACAAAAAACCGTCGAAAACGTCCATCCCCTGTTGCCTCAACAAAAAAAGGAACGGCGAGTTATCGGAGAGCCTCCGAAGCTCCGATACCTTCGTGCGTCTTGGTGATTCCCATTGATACCTGCAGATGGTTTATCAAGGTTTGAACACGTGGTAAAAGACCGTGGTTGAAATCTTGGTGATTTCAATGACATATAAAACTTATAATGAATAGTGACGTTAGAGTTGGTTGATCATAGTGAATTCATAGTAAAAACTTCTGACAGACAATACTTTAATCTTACCATTCATTGAATCCTCTATTCATGTCTCAACCAGCCACGCATATATGGTTGTCCTTACACCAATTTGGTAATTTTGGTTGATTTGGTAAAATGTCCTTTGCCCTACGCGCCCAAAAACCAGTCTTGAGGGTTGCGTGGTGGTTTGGGAAACAACAAGAGTTTCGGGGACAGGGGAACATCAGAGTGTTCCAAACCTTCGCCTTTTTGGAAATGAGGATGAAACCAGGAAAACTCTCCTGACCACAGGGATGATATGCCAGTTGGTTTATGTCGGTTTAAGAAACAGATCTTGAGGATGTTGTAGGTATCATCTTCCCTCTTTTCTTTCAAACATGCATGTGTTTTTTGTTTGACTACTTTGTAGTTTTTCAAAAAAACACGGTTTCTATCTCTATGTGGGATGATCTGAAACCTATTGACAAGCGACCAATATGTTTTCGTGCATTTTTGTTTTTTAGACGGCTTAGCTGTTGTATTTTATAGACTAAATGACCAAACTGAACGTCTAAAAGAGGAGGATCGTGAAAGCATCAACACCCAGTTGCCACACATATTTCAGCTGCACACAGAACTGCCAGACCACAGTGGATCCCCCTGGATCTACACTGCCATAGTAACGGAAACTCACCCTGAGTTTTTTGGGTTGACGGCGGCCTCGGACCAGGAATTATACTTTGAAAAACTTTGAGAAGAAGGCTGGAAGTGGAGGGTTTTTTTCGCTGCCGAGACTGAACTAGTGACTAAGGGCGGGTCGATGAGAGCACCCTGCTAGTTGGATCAGTTCCCCGGCTTTGATCCATGATGATCAAGAGCTGAAGAAATCACCATTTACTTCGATGATTTTCCGATGAGTCTCCGGTGAGTTGAAATCAAGCGATCAGAGGTCCAAGGTAGTTGGGGGACCTCAACATTTTTGGCGCATCAATTGATGCCTCATAATTTCCGGTCCGAGTTTCACCTTTGTCCCAAACATCTTTTGTTGGATTTGATTAGTATCTGATATGTTTTTTTTCTCCATTTTTTCCACCTGTCTCAAGCCCAATGTTTTTTTCACCAACTCAAAGCATTCCTGGGGCAGACCGCAAGGCGCAAAGTGCGGCTGAACTTTTGAAGCAAAAGCGGAGATGCTCCATGGTGACTCAGATGGACAGGGACTCGTCCGCGAGGTCCGTTGCGCTACTTGGATCCACTGGGCAGATGGGGTTCGGATGGGATTTTCGTTCAGCCAAAAACCACTTGGGGTGCCTGTTGCCATTGTCGTCGTCGTCGTCATCATCATCATCATCCTCCTCCTCCTCCTCGTCGTCGTCGTCGTCTTTGCGTCGTTGTCAAGCCAATTTTCACAGAGCCCTTTTTGCACAAGGAAGCTAATTGTGAAGTCACCATTTTTTGCCTATGCCGTGACAAGCATCATCACCTTCAACTTGATCATCCTGGGACGCTTGGTCGACAGGGGTTGCTGGGATGACCCACTGGTGAATGTGGTGTAGTTTTTGGATGGTTTTTGTTTCGATGTGTATATTAATATTAATATATATATAATATCGTTTGTTAAACTGTTGTGTTTCATTTTTCTTGCTTCAGTTGATGGTTACCCAGTGGATCCCAGGTGACAAACACAGGGCGAGCAAGCTTGCCGCGAGTGCAACCACCAACAGTTGCTTTTTGGGGTCTCTGGCACCCCAAATCCAGAAACTTTGAACCACAACATCGCAATTGAGCCTGTCCGAAAATCAGGGCAGCATTGAAAACCTTCAGTGACAATCGATTTTTTTTTTTAATGGACTCTCATGCAATTCTGCCTGACTGCTGAGGTATAGAAGTGGATGTCTCGACCAAATTGGGGCAAGAGGATATTCCCGAGTGGTTCGGCATTTGCAACCTCATCGTTGTTCCTCGATCAAAAAAAAAGGTGCTTTTCAAAAATCAGCATTTTTTCCCAGGGATGGTTTGAAAAACCACACTGCGAACATGGTGTTTCACCTGGTCACTTGTCACCACTCCAAGTGGTTTGCCAAGTGCCCAGCTGTGCCCAGATGACCCCCCAGAATCCCGATGATTGGGGCCTGGGATTGGACATATTGGACCATGGGAACCATGGGACCCTGGGTGACTTAGATTCATTTCTCCAGAATGGGATCTATGGACCATATGGAGCCTGGTGAAAAATAGGCCCAGATTTGCCCCAAAAATTCACAGATCCAATATCTACGCCGTCTACGCATGAGGTGATTCTCTTTACTCTCGAGATGAGTATCAGCCGCTTGGCCGGACTTGTGGGGCGAGCATCGATGGGCATCAAAATAGCTTGCAAAAGATCAAGAACAAGGGGGATTTAAGTATAAAACAAATGGATTTTAGCTTGGAACAGGGGGACTTAAGCATCAAACATGGCGATTTCATTATAAAGCTGAGGATTTCATCAAAAATCTGGGGATTTCACTCTGAAATGAGGGACTTAACCATAAGACATGGGGCTTTGAATGGGGATGGGTCATGTTAGCAATGTTTTTCTCACGGACGAACATCCATAAACATACAAAAAGCGAACTGGAACATCACCATCTCTAATAGGTGAATCAACTATTTCTATGGGCCATTTTCAATAGCTATGTTAAATTACCAGAGGGTAATATAACAACATTTTGTTGTAGATCAACATTTGAAGCACAAAAAAACTGCAAATTCTGGTCGGTTTTGGTGCTTAAATAGGCTACCATGGGAACACTGTGTTCCAAACCACGGCTACGAAACCCTGCTGGTGTCTCAAGTCAAGTTGCTTGAGAGTTTCTTAATTGATCAGAACTCTGATTCTCCCCTAAATCCTCAGTGTTTCCATGTGTTTTCCCATTTTTTTCCCCAAAAAAACCCTCAGTGTTTTCAACACCTGGCCACATCCCTGTGGGAGGCCACCCAAAAAGATGGAAAAGCTGACCTGGAAAATCTGGCAAAGACATCATCTTTTTATATCTTTTGGACATCCTGGAAACTCTGTTCTATCTATTTGGGGGGTTGCTATGACATGCAGTAACTATATCTCATGAATTTCCTTTGGTTGCTCCGAACTTGGTAAGATGCTTCTAGTTGACGAGCAAATGGCGGCTTGGGGTTTGAACCCAGGGAACCAAACAGTCATGACATCTAATTTTTGCCTGAAAAGGGTACCCCCATGTCCACCATTCATTGTTGGACAGAGGTAATCTAAATGATGGCTGTTCAGCTGTTCATTGGACAACATCTCCCCTATTGAATGATCGTTGTTTTCCCAGGATTTTCCCATTTCTTGTTGGAACCACCTCATCTTAATCCCAGCGCTGGCGCCGAGGTTTGTTCGCACAAGGATGCGGCGTGTTCTTTTGCGGCCGCGAAAGGTGGTGGAATCTGTTGCTGGCTGAGACAAGATGGGTCAGCGCGGGTCGTAGGATGATCCTCCGACTGGAGGACTGGAGAACTTCATGGACGATGTGCAACTTTAGGAACCAAGTTTTCACCCACAACCATATGTCAATATGTTGTTTTTCCTTTTTCTGGTCTAAGCATGTTTAAGCAACACAAACAGCATCTTTTGTTTCCAGCTTCCATCAGAACAGAGATATTGATCATAATTGCTTTCAATCAATGGGTTTCTTTGGGTTAACCCATTCATATCCATGATGAAGTACCTGAATTGTTGGGTTTGAATTAGCCATGGCTGAGAACCAGGTTCGATCTGCTGATCATCATCGTGTCCGTACTGGAGACGATCCTGGATTTTTGGGCAACTCGGATCTAAAAAACGCGGGTTTTGTTCGCGTTTCTTCCGGGCAAAAAAAACAGGGGCACCATCGTGGCTGAAGCTTGGCAAATGCGAGGTTAGTGGCTTGAGTTTTCAGAAGACATGGGAGGACAGACTTAAAGATTGAACTTTTCTTGAAAGGAATATACTTATATCTATTTATATCTAGGATGAACCCTGGTTTTGGCATGTCTTCCATCTGAACCACGAAGCGGTGCTTTCAGGTTTGCACCATCTATTGAAACAGATGGATGCAGGCTCTGTGTTAAAATTTGTGTGATGGATTCTATGTTCAGTTAGTTGCTTCGCCAGATCAGTTCATATGATATTCAATTTGGTCTCATTAGCGCCCGTATTGTTGTTGACAATTTTCCATGATTTCTCATTGGTGTTGATATCCAAGTTTCAACTTCAGTGCATGATATCCCCGTTCTTGCTGTGAATTCTACCCCATAAGATTGATATGCTCCCCTAGAGGTTTCAGACATTGAACTTGTTGAAAAGCGGTTCACCCTGAATATCTGATTATGTCTATGATTTACGAGAAGCCAAAGTGTCATGAGATTTGTTGACATATACAAGAAGATATGCGTGATCATGTGCATAGAGATTTCTGGTCACACCCTGGCCCTATTTAGTGCTCTTATTATATTAATTACAATTATATACAAACCCTTTGCTTTGCGCATACCACCTTGTATTCTCATTGTTGCTAGTTGAAGTACCGTTGTTGCAAGTTTTTTCCCCTTTTTTGTTGACAGAATGAAAACGGGCAAAGCTCTATGTTTGTTGGTTGCGATTGGTTTGGTGGCACTTGCCTTGATTCGGCTTAATATCCTCGTTTCCTTGGGGGTTCCAACCCGGTGTTACCCCGCATGTTTTTGGTTCGTCCCACCACCTGATTTGTCCTTAGTTAAATCCCGAAGTCCACCAAGTGTTGTTGGTGTATGAAATCCTCCAATTTTCTTGCAACCCATGACATCCGCCAATTCTTTATTGATGAACTCCGCATTTTTGTCGGTCAATTTCTCAATTTGTCAAAAACCGACCCATCCCTGGCACTCCTTAATCAGACATGGCTAGCGGCTAGCTGAATATTCCCGCAAGCTCAAGGATTTTCGCATTAGATCCTCCATTTTGTTTAGGGATTGCCAGTCGAGGATTACCCTACAGTAATTTAGTAAAATAACATAGATATAGAAAGCCCCTGGTTTTCCATTCAGAAAATGCTATATAACTGGTGGGTTTGAGATTAAAATCTCATTACAAAACCATTATATCAACATTCCTTTTGTCGCTCAACTCATCATTTATAACCATTTCCAGGATGAAGTTTCTACTTTTCAACCATTCCAAACTTCTTAAAACCATTCTAAATGCCACGTTTTTTTTGGGCCACAAGCAACGGTCCCCAGTTTTGGCGCCTGGCTGCCGCCCGAGGCAACCTCCGAGTCCAGCCAGCACGTCAGCGCCTCGCAGCTGCGCTTCGTCCGCACGGTGCGCTTGGCCCGGGCCCTGCGGGGCATCCGGGTGATGCGGCTGCTGCGCTACGTGAGTGCCTTAAGGACCCTGGTGCTATCAATCATGAGCAGCTTGGCCAAGGGAGTGTTGATGATTAGGTCATTAGATCATATTAGGTCGTCATTGATGTTAGACATTTTTGGGGTACCATGAAAAATATGGGGATTTAAGTGGACATAACTGAATGATTGTTGGTTGACGATTAATTCGGGGATGATACTACCTAATAGCAATTGGGGATTATCACAACCCATTAACAGGATCAGAATCCATTAGGGAATATATTGGTGGTCATGTGGAATAATGGTAACTTATTGATCATGGTGAAAGAACCTCTTGCCTGAATAATGATGGTGAATTATCTCAACCTTTATAATGGTGAATTGATATGGAATATATAATATAGTATTTAATGCTTATGTCAGAATGGATACCCATGATCACTGGCTGATATGACGATGGGGACAACTAACCATGATTTCCGCTGAACTCGGCATGATGCTCAGAACATCCACAAATGGCTCTGGAATCAAATACTGGCCAGGCAAATGTCCCCTTGGGGATAATGCCTTGGCCAGACTCATGTTGAGCTCTGCAAGACCCACAAGTTCGTCAGATGTCAGAACTAAACCAAGGTCTGCAGCTACTCAAGGTAGGACATTACCGCTACGGTTCCTAGTCAGCTGAGTGCTAGAGGAGCATTCAGGCACTATCGTCCAATGATGTTTCTTTTGCTCACGCAACTTGAACCGAGCCCACAACAGCCAACAAGCTACCGGGTTGACTACCCTGGACCAGACCAGGGGTGGGCTTTGGAGTTTTGCCAAGTGATGATTGTGCCTGCGTTCAACCCATCATCATGTTGTTTGAGGATTTTGATATCTGATTATTATCAGATTATATTTTGCAGCATCCTTCCTGACTTTCATTGTACTGGGTCGATGTTGTAACAAGTGCCGATGACAAGATCTTGTGCCAAATCGTGGTGTGTCCATGGGGAAAGGCCTACATGGGCAGCGCCTATGACTTCAACTTACTGATGTATTTTTTGGCACTTCGCATAGGCACACGATGCTTACCTGTCATATCTTTTTGGGTTTACCCACTATACTCCCCTCTGTCTCCCTTACTCGCCCTTTGTCTCCTCTTCTCTCTCCTTGCTCTTGCCTGCAGCTGCTGCTTGGCTTGGTTTCCTCTTCTGCTCCACCGCTGAAAGCTCTTGAGTTTTACTGTTCTGAATAGAATGCGAAAGCGTGTGGCTACCAAAGAGTTTGTCAGGAGACTTAGGGGGTCAGTCTCCCAAAATTTGATTTCGGACCTCGTTCGGACCTCGTTCGCACCTCGTTCGGACCTCGTTAAAATTGTAACCAGTCAGAGCCCAGCCCCGAGAGGTTCTGGAACGGCTTTGCAATGGTCTGCTGCTTGGTCTGCTGCTGCTGCTGTTGTTGTTGCTGCTTGGATGTTGGAAATCACATCCAAGTTTGTACTCGTATGTTGGAAATGCCATGAAATTTGGTGTGCCATGCGGAGGATGATAGGTCTGACTGTTCAAACATGTTCAAACAGGCATATGGTTGTCAACTTTTGGTTAACAAGCGTACATTAAACGTATAGTAAATAGATATATTTGAGTTGCCTGCCTCAGAATTAGTCCACTTTGACCGTCGGTGTGCCAATAAGATTTCCAGCTGGCGGAAGATTATTGATGTCTGGCGTAAGCGGTGTGCCATGCGGCTGGCGCAAGTTCTAGTAAATGGCGTAGGATCACGCTGGGGCCCGTATATAGATGAGTTGTTGGCCACATCCCATAGATGGGAATGGACCAAGATGTTGGTCCATCGGTACTAGAATTTTGACCCAGCAGCCATATGTTCAGAGCAGTCATTTCTTTGAATCTTTACGTCAATCTTTCTGGGGTCGGTAAATATGTTGTTACCCTTTTTTTTTGCGTTTACATGAGTTATATCATAAGTTATATCATAAGTTATATATAGGTTATATCCTGAGTTATGCCATGAGTTATATTATAAGTCATACATACATATATATATATATATATAAGAAAAAAGTTGGGTTATGTGAAAATGAGGACATTTCCCAACCCCTGTCTTTCTCCTCTAAAGCCCCCTGAACTTGAAGCGAAGCGAGGTAGCATGGCCTCTCTCTTGTGGACGCTGGTCCTGCTGATGCTGCTGTTCTACTCCTTTGGAGCGCCTCGAATTTATGGTTGGCACACCCTAAAGCATAAAGCCCTATTCTTGGAGGTTTTATTATGGAAAAAAGATAGGTTTGATTTTAATGGTTTGGGGGCTACGGCAGAATTTCGAAGCCAAGTTTTCACTTGCTTTCGTTGATGGTTGGGGAGTGCTGGTTGGTGAATTTAACAGAGATGATCAATGAAAGGGAGGCCGTGCGTATGGTACTTGGCCTTGTAGTTTACAACCCATAAAGTACCTCAAAATCCCATGGTTGATCATCATTTTGCGTATTCAAATGATCATTTGGGGGTGAAATCCCCCATTTTCAGACAAACCCATCAGGGTGTAGCAGAATGAAACAGGATGATGTACACTACCAACCAGTTGCAACTAGCTGACACTTGCACTACCAAGAACGGAACATGTTGGGTACGTCTTAGCTTTTCTGGCCACTGTCTAGCAACCCCGTGAAAAGATGGATTTTTGCAATTTATCACCACTAATCCGTGGGACTTTACTTTTCAATCTTTGAAAAGGGGTTGCCCTACTAGTCCCATCCCCACCTCATATTAAACACCTCATTTCTATGGTCCCGGAATGTGGAAATTCCCTACAAAACCCATGGGTTTCGTTTCGGGGATTGACCAATAGGTCCATTGCTACCCCCTGGCTGCTACCATGCCATGGTAGTGGGGGGCTACAAAAAACCATTCATTGAACCATTAAACATACCATCCTCCCATCTCATTAAAAAAAAACCTACCTGTTGGTTGAACATGGTTTCCCAATCCCGTGGTTTATCAGTTTATCCCTAGAGTAACATTGGTAGTATAAGTCCCTAGAGTAACCAATGAACCATGGGTATTTTTGAATGGATCACCTCACAGAAATCATGGGCGACCATGAAAAATAGGGGGTAGTTAGGATTGGAACGGGGGATGGGATTCACATAAATACAATATAAATACAGTATATATATATATGAGATATATATATATAATATACACATTAGTATGGATTATATAATCCATCTTCATTCTATAGTCATATATCATCATCTTTAAATTCCAGCATTGCCGGATGGTACAAATGTGGCCATGACCGCGGCCAGGTGCTGTTCACTCAGCTGGTCTCCGACGAGTGCCGTTTCCAAAGCATTGTGAGTGCCTCGAATCCTGGAAAAAACTGACCAGAGTTGGATGGTAAAACTCGGTAAAACCATGGGGAGAAGATCCATGGGGTGGGGCTGATTGAGGTTGGAGATTTCTGAGGGATTTTTGGCGATGACTCTTTGGTATTTCAATTTCTGACGGATTGACGGATTTTCGGAGATAATAAGCACAGATGCTTCAATGATTTCTGACATATGTTTGGTGATTATTCTAAGAGATTCCAATGATGACTTGAGTTCTTTCATTCAATGATTCTACTCAGAACTATCTCAGCGACCACTTTGAAGGTCGGCTTGGGATGGTGCCAGGCTCTGAAGGTCCGTGATTTGCCACCGAACTTGGCAGACTACTGTACAATGTGGGGCCAGTTCGTTAGCTAAGTTGGTGAACATAGTTCCAATAACTAGGGTTTATGGCAATGAACTATCTACAATCAATGTGGTTTGTACATCAACAAGCATAACTGGCGGGCCCAACTGCTAGGGCCAAATCATGATGGGAAACCACATATCTCGACCATGAAATGCCATTGCGTTTTTCGCAAAGAATGGCTTTCGACTAGTATTGTCCAATCCGACATTGTCTAGTTGGTGGTTATTTACATATATATATATATATTATATATTATATATATATATATATATTTTTTTTTTTGGTCTCGTGTTCCGTGTTCCTACCCCCCCATGGTATGGGTCCCCAGGTAGCACCCCCTTCCCTTCTATTTGCAAGCTATTGGCAGCATTTCTGAGGTCCAGCCTCGTATTTGCTAGGTCTTTGCAGCATTTCTGACTACCAGCCTCGCAGTTACTAGGTACATGCTACCTTTTAGACGACCTACGTAGCACCATACTTCCTCAAAGTACCTACGTGCTACCTGTAGTCATATATACATTTGCTATGTATGTACTTTCTATTTACTACCTGTGTACTCTCACAACACTACATGTGTTCAACATATCTTTCCTGCATACTAGGGACTTACTACGCATATGCTTCTATATCGTACTTATGAACTACCATACCTACGGTACATACCAAACTACACCATGCCTACCATACCTAGCATACATACCTGTAGATACCATGCCTACCATACCTACCCTACATACCAAACATACCATACCAACCACAAATGCCATACATACCATACCTACCAAACATACCAGACCTACCATACCAACCATACATGGCATACATACCATACATAGCATACCTACCGTATATACCACACTTGCACCGCAGACCATACCAACCATTACATGCCATACATACCATACATACCATAGCCACCATGGGAACCATACATACCAAAACCTACCAAACCTACCATACATGCCTTACTCTGGTATACATGCCACACATACCGTCATATCAAACATACCATACCCAACATACTTACATACCACACCTACCATCCATACAATACCAACCATACACGCCATACATACCACACCTGCCATACATACCAAACACACCATACATTCCAAACATACTATACATACCATACCAACCATACATGCCAGACATACCATACATATCAAACATACCGTACATGAGATAATTACATACCATACTCACCACACTCACCTTGCCATATATATTGTCATACATACACTACACCCCCCGCACCACACACCCCGCAACACACAACCCCCACCACACCACAGGGGGGGGAGCTGACACATGACCATGGCCGCGGGGGGTTTTGCTGGACCATATATATATATATTATATATAACATGATGTAATACATATATATATACATATATACAACATGATATAATATATTTAATTTAATATATATATATATAATTTAATATATATATATATTGTATATTTTATATTTTATATATATTATATATACTATATATATTATATATTTTATATTATATTATATTATTTTATATTGTATTATTTTATATTATATTATATTATTTTATATTGTATTATATTATATTATATTATTTGATATATATATATTGTATACAATATATATATAATATAATATAATATAATTTAATATAGTATAATATATATATACTATATATATTATATTATCTATATTATATTGTATATATTATATTATATTATACTATATATATTATGTATCTACAATATATATATAATATATATAATATAATAATATGTATATATATTATATGTGGTGGTTTTCTAAAATAGGGGTACCCCCCAATCATCCATTTTTTGTTTGGATTTTCCATCATAAACCATCCAGCTATTGGGGCACCCCCATTTCAGGAAACCTCCAAGCGTTGGAGTGTTGAATGCCTAATCCTGGATTCTGTGATCCATGGCTCTCCCAGCCATTCCCTTAGATTTTAGTTTGTCTTTAGGGATAATGATGAGAGTATCTTTAGCATAATTATACATATCTTCACATTATGATAGTAAAAATATCACTATCTTTTGTATTTGTTTAATGTCTTAGATTTATACATCAGCACTGGAAACCACTAGAGTCACTCGACTTTTAGCAGCTGGGAAGCCAGCAGTACAAAAAGTAGCTCAAGAATTTCTTTACATGTGTCGGGATTTGCCATTGTTCTTCCATCGTTTTGGCATGGAAAAAATCCTGGTTGAGAGTCTAGAGGGTTTTCCACAGCTGAACAATACCTGCTAAGCTTGTTTCTTTGGTTCTACTACCTGTTTAAGTGAGATGCAGATTAGTTACATATAATTACCATAATCCAGGAATGATCTGATTTCCAACATCGACCAAACAGTAGAAGGTTTCAAACATGGGCAGTATGATGGGCATCATGATCAGCATTTCTGTTGGCTGAACATAATACTGTAACAACCAGCAGTTGCTGGTGAAACCTGGTTTGGGGAAGAGTAGGGATATTCATATCCCTATCGCTGGTTATATCACAATCTTACGTAAGCGATATACAGTGCACAGTATATATATATACACGCACATATATATATATATATAAATATGTAACATCCAGTATCTAAACAAGAAGGCTATAATCATGTCGACAACCAATGTAGAAACATCAGCGTCAGAGCCACTATGTAATTCCGTTCATACAATCACTAAAACCATTGCATATATGACAAGCATCTATTGGTCACCTATGTTATCCCCAAGCTCTTTGGGTCGTACCTCCCACCGGTCCCGGGACGTTTTAAAACCCCTTTGGGCACTGCCTGCAGTGCCCGCTCTGCTCCGAGACACGCAAGATCACAATGCGGTGCCTCGCTGTGAAGACGAGTCCAGTGAGTACTGGTCCTCCATCAACGAGAGCATGCTGACTTTGTTCATGTCGCACGCTTGAAGTTGGCATCTCCAACGGCGAACGTGGTGCTTGGTGATGAATATACTTAGTGGTTGGTGGTTTCAAACATTTTTTATTTTCCATTTCATATATGGGATAATCCTTCCCATTGACTCATATTTTTCAAGATGGTTATTGCACCGCCAACCAGCTTAGTAGTATACTTGGTGGTTCAGCCCAGTAACCTGGATGGGTTCACCCCCAGTAGCTCTCAGAACTTGTAGGGTTAGCCGAGTTGCAACTGGGTGAACAGAGGCAGTCACTACGAGGGGCGAACTAACCAACTGAGTACTCCCATTCATGGAACTGGGGTGAACCGCCAATCAGTAGTAACCTACCAGTAGACTTGAGGGATTTTCATGCTCAAAATATTACCATCAAAGGGCCGTTGATGAGTTTTTCCTATGGTGATTTAACATTTTTTCCAGGGGTCTTGACAACCATCAAAACTGCATGGGGATATACGGCAATTGATAGAGAGTGAGATTTCAACACAGATAACCACATCACAACCAGCGTTATATGAATATTTTCATTAGAGTCACTAGAGGATCATTGTCTTTATAAAACATGCTTATATGAATAATCCATTTTCTCATGACTCGGTAGCATCATGATTACAATAAATCACTCTGTTATCATCACAATCCCCGAAATTCAATCTTGTTCCATTAGATCTTATTGCGATTTTATGCAAAATAGCTCATAAGAGCTTTACCAGACATGAATATCATGAGTGACCCCCTAGTTACAAATTACAAACTATTCTAGTCGCTGGGGGTAACGGTGACTTCTGGGGTATTCCTATTCTTATATCAACCCATACATTGCTGGTTGGTGGTTTGGAACATTTTTTATTTTTCCATATATTTGGAATAATCATCCCAACTGACTAATATTTTTCAGAGGGGTTGAAACTGAAACCACCAACCAGTTGTATTTTGGCTACTATTTTATATCGCATTGTATCCCCTTCATATCTCCATTTTTGGGTGGTCTTATAGCAAACTATATCATCTATATCTCATGGTTCACCCATCATCTAGCACCTTTTGGTGATACACATTCCATTCTCTGGCATTATTCACCCAATATTTACCCATGGTATTGCAATTACAGCCTACCAGGACTACCATTTTAAGTCACTAAAGCCGCCTAGCTGGGTGGGTCATGGATGTTACTGGGTAACAGATAGACCAATTGATAGCTGTAAAAAAACACTATCTCAATATATGCTGACTGGATTAGAATTGTATCCCCACTTTCTCGCCATAAGCTGGTTGGTACACGTAGTACACGTCCCCTTCAGAATTATGGTCCCAGAAATTGGCAAGCCATGTTTTTTGAACACTGTGATATCTCCATAGTTTTTTAATGATCAATGATCTTATTCCCTTTATACAATCTCATTTTTATCTCATTTTATTTTAGTGATATCATTTTTGTCTCCATTTTCTTCCCAGGTCCATCACCGGTGGCGTGGATTGGGAGATCGCGCTGAAACCGCTGCGAAGGATCTCCATCCTGGCCGTGATATGCTTGGCTCCTCGCTGCCGTTTTTTCTTTTAACGAAACAGACACAGTAAAAAACCTAGGCATATGAAATCATGTGAATATATATATATATTATAAACCATGATATTACAATATAATATAATACAATACAATACAATATAATATAATATAATATAATATAATATAGTAGAATACATAATATATATAATCTAATTATAATACAATACAATAAAATACTTATAATATAATACATATAGTAATATATATATATATTATTGTAATATATATATATGGCATATATGGCATATGTGGCATATGTGGCATATGTGGCATATATATATATTGCATATATAATGTATGTATGTATCTATGTGTGATAAATTGTGTAGTGCAATGTAATGTATCAAGGATATACACACATACATATACACATATATCATATATCATATATCATATATCATATGTCATATATCATATATCATATATCATATATCATATATATACATATATGTATATATATATATGTATATACATAAATATATATACATATATATATATATATGTAGATATACACATATATATATAATTATATATACATATTGTAGGGCTTCGCACATCGGCGATGCCCGAAGGGTTGTGATTGTTGCCCAGAATGTCGTCCGCTTGCTTTGTTGTCATCTTGCAACCACCTGCCCACACACCTTTCTTTCGCATTCTTGTAGTAGCCAAAAATCGTAAAGTATATAGGTGGTGTTTTCATATTTTTTTGACACCATCGGAGCACAAAACACCGTAAATACCGATGTTTTTGGCTCCTCGGAAGCCAAAAACCACGGTATTTACGATGTTTTCTGCCCTTGGGAGAAAAAACCACGGTATTTACAGTGTTTTGCGGGCTGCGCCTAGCAAACACTGGTATTTACACAGTTTTCAGCCTGTTGCAAGAAGTAGTTTTTCCATGCAAAAGTTGCAAAAACACTGTAAATTACAGTGTTTTGGACGTCGGCGCAGACCAAAAAAACAGCAAACATCACCTTGAAAACTGAAACACATTCCCTTTGCAGTGCCTTACTCCCATGCGCCTGTTCCTGACGGATTCCAGATGTAAGATTACAAGAACCACTCCAAAGCCACCCACGTGCTCCCCCTGCTGCACGCTGGGGTCGGCGGATATATATTTGTATATTGAACTATGTAGAACGGTGTAGAATGTGTCACTAACTCCGGAAAGCATCTGGGAAGCCTTAGAGGTCAGCCACGTGATGACCATGACTTAGTATAGCTGGGGATCCATGGTGACTGGGGATCCATGACTTAAGAAACCACATCTGTGCGACAAGAAAACCATATTCAAAATATTCTTTGGTGCTAAATCATACTGGAAAAATACGAAGAATATCTGATATTTGAATTGATTTCTACAAGGTGGGCGACCCCCGGTTATGATAGTTGGTTTTTGAAACCCATGGCCATGAACACATACTTTTTTAAAAAAATTACCATGTACCATGGTGCAGCTGGTAGGGGGGCCCACCTTACCGCCCATTTTATGGGATTTTATTTGGAGATTGTTAATACCACACATGTATCGTATAATTTGGATTGATCATCATTACCTAATTTACTCTCTGGTAATCTAACATAGCTATCGATCACCACGAATGAATAATCTACAAACGGGCTCTTTTCAATAGCTATGTTAGATTCTCAAAGGATATCATTTGGGATATGGGAGATATAACCAATAAGATATTTGGGTTTCAGTATGAAAATATGTGGGATGTCCACTCCCCCATTTTATGGCCATTTTGATAAATATAATTATGAGTAACCAAAAGAGACAGACCCATGTGGACCAATTTTCCATTGGGTATGATCCATTTTTGCAATGTGCTTGAGTAGCCTTTGGCTGGGTGTTGCTTCCTTGTTTCAATTTTATATTTTTTCCCACAAAGGAGGATTTACACCAAACAGCCACAGGTGAACAACATATGAATCTAACCCCCCCAGGATGACATCAGTCAGATTTCGGCGTTGCACCCTAGATATTCACGTGTCACAAAAATAACCCACAGATTTCGCCGCTATCAAAACATCCCAGCATGAACATGCATGAACTATATATGTCGCAAAACGCAGTTGAAGGTGCTCTACATTACAGTCACATTTTTCGCGATCGTCAACGACTCTTCGCAGCATTGAAGTCTGATGAAAAACAGGAGTTTCTAAGAGTAAGTTTAAGTTTAAGTGCATCAGCTACGTATAAACTGGGATATGGATATGGATGAAAATTTTTACGGCCCGGGGGAGCATGCGAATCTTGGTCATTTCCAATTTTGACCCATAGGCATCTATACATCAACAAACTTTTATCAAAAATCTGGATGCCCAAAACTTCAATGTCTTAGAAAATCTTCGTGATATTTCGTCATTGCGCCCCAACCAAAAAATCATAAAAAATCGAATCGGAAGGTCTCCCCGACTTAGATGGAATTCGGGTCCAGGCCCTAAAAAATCATATTTCAAGACCAAGGGTTTCCTGGGTTTTTTCCCCGAATCCATAGAGCCATATTTTTTTCTGATTTTCTGCTGAAATTTATGATCGTTAAATCCAAAAGCTAACTGGGTGAAATCCATCAAACTGTTGATGAACTTCCTACATTTTGCTGGTTAAATCAGTAAAATCCCAGCTTTCCCGGCTTCAAACCTCCCAACTTTTGGTGAACGTCACCCCCGGTAAAAACCGTAACGGACCGCGCGGCGCAGGTCATCACTGGCGTCTTCGTCACGACGGCGATGGAGACCACCTCTGCGGATAAGGACCTGGTGGTCATGAAGCAGCTGCAGAAACGCAACACGCAGGTGGGAATATCAATATGAATATACATATACATATACATATACATATCTATATATCTATCTATCTACCTATCTACCTATCTATCTATCTATCTACCTATCTACCTATCTATCTATCTATCTACCTATCTATCTATCTATCTATCTACCTATCTACCTATCTACCTATCTACCTATCTATCTATCTATCTATATCTATCTATCTATCTATCTATCTATCTATCTAATCTATCTAATCTAATCTATCTATCTAATCTACCTCTATCTATCTAATCTATATCTAATCTACCTCTATCTATCTAATCTATCTCTATCTATCTAATCTCTCTCTATCTATCTTCTATCTATCTTTCTATCTTCTATCTATCTTTCTATCTATCTTTCTATCTATCTATCTTTCTATCTATCTTTCTATCTATCTTTCTATCTATCTTTCTATCTATCTTTCTATCTATCTATCTTTCTATCTATCTATCTATCTATCTATCTATCTATATTTAAACGGGATATAAAAGTGGTATATCAACAGGATATAAATGGGATCGCACTGGTTCGGTCTTTTCTGAAGCTGTCAAAAGTTGGGCTTGACGGTATTCTCTGCATATAGTTTTCAGGTTCCCTGTGCGTTGCAAAGTATGGCCAGCCATGCTTGATTTTCGCCCAAATCCACACATCTCAGACCAGCAAATCTATACGTCTACATATCACACGTGTTTGGGTCGATTTGCCTGTTTTGTTGTTGGTGCAGTGCTGCATCTGCTGGGAAAGCTGATAATTTAGTCATGCTGGAGATGGCTGCGGTTGAGGTGGCTGCTTGGTTGGGGATTGGAGATGGCTGGCTGGTGGTGGAAGTGGTGAACGTTGCTGGACATGGAGAGGAATAGCTGGCTGGAGGATGGATGGCTATGGCTGAATATAGCTGTAGATGGCTGAATATGGATAAGTGGCTGGGTATGGCTACAAATGGCTGAGTATGAGTGTGGCTGTATATGGCGGAGTATGACTGGGTATGGCTGGGTATGGCTGAGTATAGCTGTGTATGGCTGGGTATGGCTGAGTATGCCTGAGTATCGCTGAGTATGGCTGAGTGTGGCTGAGTATGGCTGAGTATGGTTGGTATGGCTGGGTATGGCTGAGTATGGCTGTGTGGGTCCCAATGGATGTCGGTTGCTGAAAAGGTTTTTTTTTTAACGGGCCGCTCGCAAACTGGGCTTCAAGTGCTTTGGTGTGAACGGAGCTCCCTGGACCAGTCAGAGGTGGAAGACAAGATTCCCAGATGAAATGAAGAAGAGGTTGAGGTAGTGAGCCCAAACTGCACCATGCGATGACCACTGAAGTGCTCCCCCACCCCAAGCTCACCACACACCACAAGACTGGGGACTGCTGGTGTACCCCCAATCGATCACCCTGCTACCCTTCCAACCCGTACGATTGTTTTGCAACAGTGAAGACCCCTGCCAACCATCCAGTGTTTGAGCAATCACCGACTCTATTGTTTCCTCGTTAGCATACTCAACCATACTCATCCATACCCAGTCATACTCAGACACACTGAGCCATACTCAGCCATATTCAGCCATAGTAGTACTTTGATGCCCGCAGCACGCCGCGAGCCGCTGAAGCAGCTCCCAAATGAACTGTCCAGCGCCAGCCAAAAAAGGGTCAGAAGACCGGTCCTTAGATAAAAGGCCAAAGGCCGTATTAGCGACACCTCCTCGAGTCTCCTCCTCCTCGAGCCTGAGGTTCGCAGGAGTCCATGAGGTGTCCTGGTGAAGTTCTGCCAGCAAACCAGTGCGCATTCCACTCCTAACTTTCGACACAGGGCGTTGGTACGGCTGGGTATGTTTGAGTATGGCTGAGTATGGCTGGGTATGGCTGAGTATGGGTGGGCCAGGTTGGCATACCTAGCTCCGCACCTAGCAGTATCTAACCGTTGCTAGCTGCACCTAGCCGTACCTAGCCATACCTAGCCATACCTAGCCACACCAGGCCAGCCATATAACTAGCCATACCTAACCATACCTGGCCATACCTAGCCATGCCATAAACATAGCCATACCTAGCCATGCCATACCTAGCCCGGAGGCTGGCCAGGAATGGCTAGGTATGGCCAGGTATGGGCTAGGTATGAGTAGGTATTGCTAGGTGTGGCTAGGTATGGCTGGGTATGGCTGGGTATGGGCCAGGTACGGGCTAGGTACGGCTAGGTATGGCCAGGTATGGGCAGGTATGGCTAGGCATGGCCAGGTATGGCTAGGTATGGCTAGGTATGGCTAGGTATGGCTAGGTATAGCTAGGAATGGCCAGGTATGGCTGGGTATGGCTAGGTATGGGTATGATGGCTGGGTATGGCTAGGTATGTCTAGGTATGGCGAGGTATGGCTAGGTATGGCCAGGTATGGCTTGGTATGGCTAGGTGTGGCCAGGTATGGCTAGGTATGTATGGCTGAGTATGGCTGAATATAGCTGAGAATGGCTGGGTATGGTATGGCTGAGTATGGCTGAGTATGGCTGGGTATGGCTGAGTATGCATGAGTATTGCTGAGTATGGCTGAGTGTGGCTGAGTATTGCTGAGTATGGATGGGTATGGCTGCGTATGTCTGAGTATGGCTGAGTATGGCTCGGTATATATGGCTGGATATGGCTGTGTATGGCTGTATGGCTGTATGGCTGAGTATGACTGAGTATGGCTGAGTATGGCTGAGTATGGCTCTATGGCTGGAGTTCCGATCCGGAGAGCTACCTCAAAAAGTCGGATTTGAGTCGTTTTCGGGTTTCGGGTTTCGGGTTTCGGGTTTCGCTTGAAACCAACTTTTGAAATCGTTTCGGGTTTCGGGTTTCGGGTTTCGGCCGATCCTCAGGAAGCCAAGTCTTCAGAGTCGGTTTGGGGTTTCGGGTTTCGAGTTTCGTAGTTTGAAACCAACTTTGATAGTCGGTTTCAGGTTTCGGGTTTCGTAGTTTGAAACCAACTTTGATAGTCGGTTTCGGGTTTCGGGTTTTGGGTTTCGGCCGATCCTCGGGAAGCCAAGTCTTAAGAGTCGGTTTCGGGTTTCGGGTTTCGCAATTCGAAACCAACTTTAGCAGTCGGTTTCGGGTTTCGGGTTTCGGGTTTCGATCGGTTCTGGGGAAGTCAAGTCTTCAGAGTCGGTTTCGGGTTTCGGGTTTCGGGTTTCGGGTTTCGCTGGTCGAAACCAACTCTGCAGACCTCTCTCCGGATCACGTCTCTATGGCTGGACATGGCTGAGTTTGGCTGGGTATGGCTATAGTTATGGCTGAGTATATGGCTGAGCATATGGTTGAGTATATGGCTGAGTATGGCCTCGGGTATGGTGAGTATGGCTGCGTATCAAAACCGTATTCTGACACAATTTACAAGCAGATTTAAAAGGAAAATGGAAAACGCCAAAGACCGAGAAAAAACATCAAAAACGAATCGTCGCAACTTTGGCGCAACCATTCGGCTGAGTATGGATGAGTATGGCTGCGTACGGCTGCATGGTATGACTGAATCTTGCTGGGTATGGCTGCGTATAGCTGAATATAACTGAGTGTGGCTGAACATGGCAAATGGCTGTGGATGACTGAGTATGGCTGAGTATAGCTGAGTATGGCTGAGTATAGCTGGGCATGGTTCTGTGTATTGCTGAGTATGGTTGAATATGGCTAGGTACTATTGAGGTGATGGCTGGGCGGCTGGAGTGGTTGGGCTGTTGGATGGTCAAGGGATGGTGGGTGGAGGTGGAAAGGCTGACGGTGGTTGGGGATCCAGCCATCCCTAGCCATCCTTACCCCCACCCATCTCCAGCCATTTCCCCATCTCCATCCATCCAGCAATCATGAGCCCATAGTTCTACGCTTGTCTCCCACATGTCTTTGATGGACCGTGTGCTTTACGCTTCACTTGTCTCCCACTTTCTTATCTCCCAATTTGGGTGCTTTGGGCTGCTCTGGACCACATGATTCTACGCTCGTCTCCCACTTGTCTGCCATTTGTTTCCCACTCTACGCCTGTGGGCCGCATGATTCTACGCTTGTCTTCGACTTATCTCCCACTTGTCTTTCACTTATTTCCCGCTCTGGGTGCTCTGGGCCGCATGGTTCTACGCTTGTCTCCCACCTGCATACTTGTCTCCAATTGTCTCCAATTATTTTGGGTGCTTTGCGCCGAAAAATGCTACACTTGTCTCCCACTTCTCTCCCACTCTGGGTGATCTGGCTGCTCTGGGCCGCGTGATTTTACGCTTTTTTCCCCTCCTGTCTTTCACTTGTGTACCATTTGTCTTGCACGCTGGGTGCCCTGGGACGCGTGATTCTATGCGTGTCTCCTGCTGGTCTCCTGTTTGTCTCTCGCCTGTCTCGCATTGTGTCTGAACATGTTTTCCCATTGGAAGATTCTGCCTACTTTAATTTATTGTAGAGATTGAAGATTTGATTGAAGACTTATATAGAGATTTGCCCAGCGGTGTGTGGAAAATTGGCCGTACAGAAACCACATGGTGGAAAACCCTCAAAGTTGGGCTTTTATCAGGTGGAAACTGTAAAAATATAGGAAGAACAATAGGAGGTACAGTTATATACAGTTTTTCCCCAAACAGCGTGTCCGCACTGAGGGGTTCTTACGGTAGGGGTGAAGGGCGGTGCTTGATCGAGGTGCTCACTCTGTCTTCCCGCCCTTTTTCCTGTCATTTCGACTGCGCAAACTCGCACAAAACCTGCGGCGCGAGTTTTGCTTCCGTCTGGGGCGCGGCATTTTCCCTGTAAATTCTCGCATAAGATGGCTCTTGTGACATGTCCATGTGCCTTTCGACTGCGCAGGCTTGCACAAAACGTGCACCTAACTTCTGGGACGTGGCATGTTTCCTCTAAATTTGCGTGCTGACGGTCACACCTCCACGTGGTCAGCGCGGGCCCGGATGCTGCTGGCGTTCGGGTACGGAGTGGCTCTACACTCAGATCCCTTCCTGAGTCTAGTCTCATTGGCTGCACTTGTTTGGAAGGACAAGAAATATCAAAAGCCCCA